ATTTTACTTAGAAAAGATATAGCTAAAATCAATATTTAAAATTTTATTAAAAAATTTTAAAATTTAAAAAAGTTTGCTGGCAAATTTGGCTGCAAAACAATTTAAGGGATAGGTTGATTTACAACCAATCAGATCATATGGACGGATTTGTGGAATTGTTTATTTTTTTGACGCACCCCAAATTTACATTACATAGATCACAGGTAGGTCAGTCAATTGACGTATTTGAAATCCAATCAAATTCGACACATTATGTAGATCACAGGTAGGTCAGTCAATTGACGTATTATTTTTTGCGGACCAGATTATTACCTTCACCAAAGTACTAGGTTACCTAATGGTAATTATGAGCCCGTTGAGTCTCACAACACACAAAGTCAGAGGTCCTATCGCCCAATATTAGAGACAAAATTTTTTGCTTGACTAAGCATACCCGTACAAATAGCTCTAGCAATCATCTTATTGACACAAAAACAATCTAGTGTAAAAAGATGGAATATCAGTAAAAAATTTCAGATAGAAAATGAAAAAAAAAAATTTTATATATGTATTTATTTGAGCCTCATGCATGTAAAGCACAAGGAATGTTTCAAATTAGTTATTTTTATGTAGCTTGTTATACATATTTGCAATTAATAGCCTCGATTATCCTTTTTTTAGATAAATATTATGTTTGTTTTTAAGGAGTGGTTTACTTAATCTATAAATATTTGTATATCCGAATTTTTGATGTTCTACATATTAGACATTGGAAGTTCGATCAACATTTATACTGCCTTCTCGTGATTGCATCACTCGAAGCCAGAAAATAAGTTACCCGATATGAGTATATATACAAATTTAGTATAGCGATCTTAATTTGATATTTCGCCTACGCATTCCAACAGTACTTCAAATGCAAAGCATCCTCTTTTCAAGAGACAGTGGCTTAGCGATTTTATATATTTATTAAGAAAAAAGCCAACAGCACTTCAGATGCAGAGCATCCTCTTTCCAAGAGACAGTGGCTTAACAGCAGTTATCTAGAATCTATTAATACGTATTTAGTAATCATACGTGTGCGCTATTGATAAAATCTTGACCGGCTTTAATAATAACGATAGCCTGCATTAAATTTTATGCGGTGTCACTCTCCTGCAGAATTATTTCTCACGGTAGATTTTTGTGCTCTAAAACTTTTTCCTTACTTTATATAAGATCCCGCGATAAGAATGGGACTTAAAAAGGCTATAAGGGTAATGAGTATAATGTTCTTTATCAGTAGCTTGGTCCAAATTCATATGTTGCAGGAACTTGGAATTTCTGCCATCATCAGATCTAAATCCACCTTAAGCGATCGTCAATTATAAGGGGCTTAATTTCACCAGAAAAATGGCAAAATAGATTCAGTATTTGGAGCTTATGGCCGAGCAGAGTTGCTTTATGGAGAAAAAAAAAGCTGGCGTTAGACTTGGGTAACGCAATTACTAATGAAGTTTTCCTTCTTGCAGGTTCTCAGACCTAACTAACATGAAGTATAAAAATAAGCAAGCCCCCACCTACAAGATAAGTTAGCAATAACATTATTTTTTGCTCGTATATATTTTTGAAAAAAAGTTTAATATAAGTTACCTGCAATTTAGTTCTAAGGTAATGCTTTTTTTTAGCAGAGCTGGTCAGAAAACACTATTACAAGTTCATGTATTAATAGCCTTGTTTCTATTAACAGTCGTGATGTCCGCAAATATTTTCTCATATAAGGCGGGAGAGACAAGAGTCTTTGATACTAGTCGTGATAACATCCGAGTAAAGGTCGAGGAGTTAAACGAAGACGTCGCAAGGGTTATTCTTGTAGATGAAAATGGAAGTCCAATTAACACTGCAGAGGAAATAAAATTTATAAATCAGGCGACTAAAAATGAAATATCACCTGTGGAAGTTAAGGGTCAAAACAGCTATCTTATAACTTGGATAAATAGCTATGAGTTGCGTGTAGGTAATCTAAAAATTTTTAGATTAGAAACACAGAGAGAGCATGTGCAAATGGAAAAACTAAATCTTGCGCATTATCTTGTAAAAAAAGACAAACTTTTTTTTATTTGTATTCACACCTGTAACAGCGATATACATATGTTTTTTTATTTGTATATTGTCAGTTCGACAAAAAAATTAAATAAAGAAGGGACCCCCGCTGGGCTCCTAACCTTTTATTTTTACATACTTTTCTTACATGATTTTTTACAATGTAATTCTATCTTCTCGCAATTACTTTCTCGAAGCCAGGGAGTAGGTAGTCACTTTTGGCAAGAAAAATTGCAGTGGTATATTAATCATATCATGCATATATGTTTTTTTCTTCGTAAAACAAATGATTTATTACAGATAAAAATATACATGTTAATTTTTTAACATTCAAGATTAATTAATTATGATTCTTCTTTTGAGGCGAGATTTCTACATTTGCAATCATGGTATTATCATTATCAATTTGCAAAGGATTACTTGTAATGTATGTCAATATACTATTAAAACTTGAAGTAATCAAGTCCTAATATCAAAACATCAACTACATTAGTACCATACTACCACTGTATGTTGTACAAAATAGCTTGTGCAAAACACTTACCCGCAACATCCATAGGTTTGAAGCAAAAATTGGCAACTCTTTGAAAATCAAGAATGTAATTGTTGGATAGGAGAACATCTTCTCGAGTTTAAAATAGTAAATTCCAGCAAATGGCATGCACATACTATATATATATAAGTTATGATCTACAAAAATTTATGAATGGAAAAACATAAGTACACATCGTAATAAATTTATCTATTCAGCTCATAAAATTTACCGTAAATTTGTACACCGTACACTTTTATCCTCCTAAATTTTTCGAAGTCGCCTGGGTATTTGATGTATATATAATTCAAGATGATTTTGAGCATCTTCGCTGTTTTATTCCGATCCCCAGCAAAGTGGGTATGTTCAGGTTTTGATGGACTTCCAGAGACTTCCAAAGTCGAGAATTCTAAGCCAATATCCAAAATTGACATAATTACATCTATCTTATTCCCGGAACACCTTCTATCGTCATCTTTTAGTGAACGGTTGAGTAGAATTGCGGAACAACGCAAGGTCTTTTCACCCCTATTTAAACATAAACTGAGTATAATGTCTAACGGGTATGAAAAAAAGTATCACCTAACACATCAAAACTATTTTAACTTACCAGTTACATTTCAAAAGTGTTCTATCTTTGAACAACATTATATAGACACGAGAGAAAAACCTGATAATATAATCGTATTCGGTTTGTTCTTCTTTGAAGAGATTCCTACCATCTGGGAACTGTTCCCGGCTATGATAATACAGAAGTTCAATGAATTCAATGTTAGCACAAATCAGATTACAATACAGAAACCACTCAGGATATTTACAATATTTTCACCAACTCCAGAGACCGCTTCTTCCATTTCGTATTTCCCTCTGCGCGTAACTTTTCACGTTCTGTCATTATCGCATCGCATAATTTTTTTGCGGTGTTCTGATAAAATAAACATAAATATAAAGAACCAAAAGCAAATCAAATTCTAATAACATCCACTTACTACATTTTTCAATATTGATTGATGTCATCCGCTCGTCCATCTTGTTCCATATCTTGATTAGCTGAATCTGAAACGGAGTCGAAATCTGAAGATAGAAGAGTTGTATCTGGAGACACCAAAATCTTTTCTATATTGTTAATTATATTGTTCCATTGATGTTTAAAGAGCCCTCGTGCTTTTGTCCCGGATGAACTGATTGTATCAATAATATTGTAGCGCAATAAGCTGTAAAATAAAGTTAGTAATCAAAAGCATATAATCAGATATATGAAAATTAATTACATACTCCTGTTTATGAATCTCTTCAATGTATTTTGATGTTTGACGCCATTTCTCCATTTCTGACCGGATACAGATGTTATCTATAATGAGTTTGAAATCTACAGTTGCACCAGGATTTTCTTGTAGAAGATTCTCCTCTAACTCTTCTCCGGAAACAAAAGGTTCTAAGGTAACGGTAGATTCCTCATTAACGTGGTTATTCTTTATGTTTTCGTGATCTTGATCACGTTGAGAGACCGGGGAAAAAAATTCATCTATTTTCCCGTCCATATTTGAGTTTATTTTCGTCCTTTTTGCTAGATCTTTACGAACGTCCTAAGGATAAATACAATAAATATAGCTCTGCTGATTTTCAACTAGATAAAATGCACATCGGCACCTTTTCTAAATGTCTTTTTTTAGATATATCTATATTGGAAATTCCACCGTTGGTAGTCCCGCCATAAATAGTTCCGCTTCCTAAAACGGTCGAATTCAGAATGTTGACTGAGGGTCCATTTCTACGAGCCATTTCCCAATTTTTAGCGAGTTCTCTATCACTAGTGGCACCATCCTAATATGAAAATTTAGGGATTAATAAATAATATTCTCAACTGGTATTTTACCATCTACATTCCAAGTTTCTATCCAATCAGTCCAGCCAGTAGCCTTAAACATTAGGCAACCCAGTAAGCTCCCTGTGCCCCGATTGGACCAGTGCCAGGCCAGCCAGTAACCTTAAACATCAGGCAACCCAGTAAGCCACCTGTGCCCCCAGCACTGGTTTGTGACTCGAATGACAAAGACCCAGTAAGCCTGTCGCGCCACTTTTTCCATTTATATTCCTAATAAAAAAATTACTTCCCTTTCTGTAATCGTCAAGAAGAGCTCGCGCTCTTTGCTTCCGGGATCCTTGCTCGTGGTCGAAGATACGTTCGAGAGTTTTTATGTAAAAGTCAATTTTTAAGTCGAATGGTTCTATGTCGGTTGACGCGTTCAAGAAGTCTAAAATATTCCACTTTGAGGATTTGCGGTCGAAGTATTCCATGGCGATAAGTAGAGTACAGAACGCAAAACACGTTATTTATACTGGAAAAAAATCACACATGTGATATCGTAGACAGAAGTTTATCTGATTGGCTGGTTTTTTAGATTTATTTGCAGATAAGATACATTGTAGCATTGGTTAAAAAATTACGAATTTACTAATTTCTGCCTCACTTTTCGATTGGCTGTACTATGAACTACCCACCAAAAATTTTCGGTATTAAAATTCTTAAAAGTTCGTTTATATTAGGGTTAGGGTTGCTAAGGTTAAGATTAGAGGAGCTATAATACTTTTTGTTAGAGCACCAGGAGTGGTTTCTTATACAGATTTTTGAGTTATGGACGTTTTTCGACAAAGTAACGTTTGTTTTGAATTATCCTGATCATGTTACATTACACAGAAAGTGAGACGGAAATTAGTAAATGCAAAAATTACCAGCCCAATATGGGCAAAACTTTTATTAATACATATTATTACTGCCTTCTTGCAATACTTACGATCTCCTGAAACCTGATGTAAGCATGAGATCAGCATCAGGTTAAATTTATTTCCCGAGACAGCCAAATATCTGATAGTAGAGTCTGGACACTGCTCATCAAAATTGCGCAGAAAAATGAATTAATTACATGTGCAAATTAGTCATTTTTTTTATTCAAAATCTTATTGGAAGTAGCAAATTATTCTCCGTGATGTTCAGCAAAGTACAGTATTACTGTATTACATTTGGTAGTGACACTTAAAATAAAACCCGATATGGGAAATGCTTTATTAATATATGTTTAAAAATGCACGTGTAAAAAAAAATACTATTTTTCTAATGCAAGTAATGGACATGGTGTCCGAACTCGTCAAAATTGCGCAGAAGAAACTGTGCAGTACACTATCAAACTTTCTTCTTTAAGATTTCAGCCATTACATAATCCTTTTCATCCTTAGTTAGATTTAAGATGAAACCTGGAGGGGTGGATTTTATCTGTGCTATTTTTTCTTTGCCTATATTATTAAAAAGCTTATAAACCTTTTCAGATCTCTTCACCCTTTTCCGCAAAGCTTCGTCAGAACATTTTGTCTCAGGAATTGCTTCTCTAACCTCACTTTTAACTAATGCTTGAGATCCATTCTTACCATGTTTGGGTTTTAATTCTTTGTATCATTTAAATACAGCTTCCCCAAAATCAAAATAGCTGAAAATAAGACCTCGAGATGCATTTTCATTTTTAGTTTCGGCATTATCAATCTTATCGGAGAGTTGCAAAAAAATACTGGTTGTGCTTTCATTTGCTTTTTCCAAGTTCTCTCCAATAGTGAGAACAGGTGTATCAGCTAATAATTCTTCGATAAGTTTTTTTAACATAGACGATACCTTCTTCCCGTCAGTTTTTTTCACCTTCTTGCTAGACATTTTTTCAGTAGATATGGGTGATTTCCTAGTACGTTTTTTCTGGGTAGTCTTATTAAATAAGGGTAATAATGGTGATACATTTATTGGTGAATTTAACCCAAGATTATTGCCTAACATATCTGCAATAGCCGAAGTTCCACTAGACTGAGATGATTCAGAAAACCTTCGTTCAGATATTACTGGATCAACAATTTTGTCGCAATCAGGAATAGGGCATTTGTTCTCTTCCGTAAGTAAAAAATTTTTTTCAATACATTTCCTATGATACGCATGACCGCATGGAAGTATTGTAAATGATTCAAAGTTAACTGTTAAAATTTTTTTATTACATATTTTACATGGTGGCAATTCTGTAACTTCGATATTTTGTACCACATCATGTTTCATTTCTTTTAAAATATTAAGAGCAAAGTTTTGGAGATTAACAAGGGACATGATGATATCGGCGAAGCAAGTACAGATAAGTTTTTTACAACAAACTTTTATTATACTTAGCTTATTTTATAGTGTATCCTCCACAACTAAAAAAATTAGATACTAATTTCGAATTTGGCGATTTGTTCATCGAATTTGGGCGCATTTAACAATAGTGCTTTAAAGAAAATCTGACGATTACCAGTTAGGGTTTTATACCAAATTAATATGCAGTAATAAAGATGAAGTTATCACCGAGAAATATACTATTTATTGCTAAGATCATACAAGATCTGAAAGATCACACGCGTTTTTTTTTGCATAACTATGTTATTTTAAACCCCAATTCATACCCCATACAAATCTACCAATAATCCGTAATGGAATTTTATTATGTAGAATGGATGATGCTATAGTGCCCATTACATTTCGTAGGATCAGATCTGTAAATCACTAGTGTAATTTCCATTCTTGTCCCATTCTAACATCAGAGATATCAGATTGACTTGCGTAATACTAATTTAAAGATTCATAATAGGTGTAACATGCCAGAACGTTCTGAAAAAAGTTGGCGGATTAATTATTCATTGATCTATTTCTCATAGATTTGCAAAAATATATAACCTGCTATATAACACAAGCAGTTAAATCACATGACCTCATCTGCGTGACAAGAGAAGCTAAATAACCTAAATTGAAGATAAGGTATTTTGGTATATTATCGTTATGGAACAAACTTATTCTGACATTAGTACTGGTAATAAGATTGAGGTACACGAATTCTTGGAGGCTTTGGGATTATTAGATAATGAAGTCGTACCCATCAACATGGATGATGATGACAATAGCGAATCTGACATCAACGAAGAAGATAGTAATGATGAAGATAGTGATGATGATCAGGACAATTATTGGGACTGGGACCCTAGGAAAACATATACCGGATGGGATTATCAAAGATGTTTTAGTGAAGATGCTTTGAAAAAACTTTATCAAGCCCGGAAAGCTCAGTAATGTTTTATCCTTCTTAGGCTATTTACCATGCACCTTCCTAATTTATCTGAGCAAGCAAAAAATGGATTATTTGTCGCATTTTCTAGATTTAATTCATTTGGAGTATTAGAACACAACGCATTATTGGATGCTCTAGCTCATCCTGTGAAAGGTTTAAATCTTTTTGAATATGATGAACTCGGGTTTGATTTAATAAACAATGCGAAATTGTAACCAAGCTTCTGGTGTTTTTAGATTATTAATATAGTTTAAACAATATTCAGTCAACATGTATCAGGCATAACTATTTTTTCTCCATTCTTGAATATTGAACATGTTTAATACGTGGATTTTATTGACTAAGGCTTCACAAGCTCGAAAAAAGATATGGGTTACCGATATATTCGGATTACCGATATATCTGGATTTAAGTGATTTAATCATGAGAAAGCGAGATTTTTATTTCACTTCGACACTGCCAATTTATAAGAAAAAAAAAATATTAATATAAAAATATATCTCTTAATTGTGATCTCAGAATAGAATTAGGAAAACGGTGGACAATTTAAGTCTCATGTTCATGAGGGCCCAATGAAAATTCTCTAAACAAGTGCTCACTACCCAACCCTCCTGGTATTTATTTCTGAATTTCAGCTAACATTGCATCAATTTCAGCTAACATTGAATCCATTTATATTGTTTGAGATGACGAAGAAGCCTGTATTTGAGGTTTTGAACTGTCGCTTGTCTCTGGTTTGGAGTCAGACTTTTCTAATTCTGTATCGCCTATAGCGTAATTATCACCTGCATCAAGGCAATCTGATTCTTGTCTCATTGCGATTCTCGAAGCAGTTTAAGATGTTGGGGAGTTGGTTTCTTACCACCATGAATTCTGGAAGCATGTTTACTTCCATAATCTCTTAATTTTTTAGGTATAGTTCTATAAGGTTTTTGTTTTAAGAATTCGTTAAATGGCTAGGCATTACGTGTTTCATTTTCTGTAAAAACAGGATCACGCAACTTTTTTGCCTTGATTGTATTTTGGATCCAGGTAAGTAATTCTCTGGCGCGTTCCGGGCTCTTCTCCATGGAAAGAAATGGTCGGGGCTCAGAATTTTTTTTCTTCTCTTCTCTACTTTTTAAATAGCCTGTACAGTACTAAGAATAACCTTCTTTATACCATACTGGAGCATTCAAAGGATCTGGTTCATAGTGAATAATTTGAAGAGATCTTACTTCTGCAGGTCTCATACTCAACATCACAATTATATCCGTGAGATCTTCTTTAGATAGAATTTTAGAAACATCCATATTCTGAATCCTTTTAAACACTCTTGCTGATGAGAAGTATATTGGAATTCTACCCGGATTAGCCATTCATTTTTTAGTTTGTTTTTTTTGAATTTTATTAGACTCTTGAATAAGTTTTGGATCTTTGACATAGGTATTAATAATTTCAGGACTTACCCCGCCTTCTGCTAATTTCACACGAAATTGCGACTGGCGTGAACCACTGGCGACTATTTCATTTTCATAATCATTTTTTGGGCCTAAATCTAAATGATGGGCGAAAATGTCCATAGCATCGCCGATTTTAGCGCAATATTTTGCCCTTTCCTCTATGGTGAGTTTTCCTTTTCTCTTATCTGGTAAGAGAGCCTCTATCCGCTCTTCACTAAATGAGCATCTGTTATCAGTACCTCTGGCAAGAGCGACTTTAACACACCTGTGGGCCATCCAATCGGGAAGTAGAGCATCAAGTTTGGAAGCATGTTTGTTTAATTGTTCTGGGGTGGAGTCCGCTGTCAGATTATGCTTTTCTAGAAACTGCTCTAAGACCAATACAAAGTTATTAACTTTAGGTTTTTGGATCTTTGGGGTAGCTGTTTTCGTAGCCATGAGAATAATAAGTGTTATCTAGTTATATTAATCTAGTTATTTTTTAATTCGAAAAAAATAATTAATAGTTTGGGATTTTATTTTGCCTAATTGTAAAGAACCCTCTTATCCAAATACCTTACTTGTAAACCAGCTTCTTATTTACTCTTTACCAAAGCATACCATTCTCCTGAAGTATGCTTATATTTTTTTGCCATTCCCCATCGGTATCGAGCCATGAGGATGTGATTCCTTTTTCTTCGAGTTCACGCCGGATAATCTCTTCTCCTATTAATCTTTCTTGTACTGTCATTTCCATATTTTCATTTGAGTCTTCTTCGCTCTCTTTTGCATAACCGCACATTCGTGCATCCATTTCTATTTTATACGAAATGCAGTGGAATCGAGCCTGTCTTTTTCTGTAATGGTCACGAACTTATCAGGGTCTTCACCGAGTTCGATTGCCCTTTTTCTGAGGCGCTCTTCACGCTAGGCTCTGGTCAAAAGTATAGCAGACAATATTTTATTGATAGGCTTGGAAGAATCAGTTTCTTTAGAAGGTGTATCAGGCGCTACTCCACTTATAAGCTCAATAGGTTCAGGAAGCTTGCTAGTTTCGAGCTGGTCCTTTTGAAACTGCTTAATGATTTTTGGCTCAGGTAGATTAGACATCTTAGAAGTTTTAGAAGTCCCAGATGTTGAAGTAACTGGTGCTTTGGCTTCTTCTTCCACATAGTCGAATAGAGCTTGGGTTAGATTTTTCTGTTTATCTGCTTTCTTATCACTAGGAGAAAGATTCTTTTCTGCCTAAGGCGGGATTATTTTTGGAGGAATAAATTCTGGCACATTGAATATGGGTATGTTTGTTGTCCCATTTTCAGGTAAGTCGGGTTGAGGTGTATCAAAAAATTCTTCGATATCATCTAGGCCGGATTCACAGAGCTTAGTTATGATTTTGGAGTGATTGAGAATGTATTGCCATTCCCTTTTCCTACCACTTGCCCTCTTGCATTCAATATTAATCTCTGAAAATTTCTTACCAAGAATGTTGTTAGAAAATGGGTTTTCCCCATTGCCTCCACACTAATCAAAATATTCCTGATATAATATATTGCTACTTAGCTTAGCTACTTTATCTTCAGGCCATGGTGCAATATAATCAATTATGAATCGAATAAGATTAGGTAGTTGGTCTCGCATGGTTTCTATTTTCATTTTGGTTGAAGGAATTTTACATGGCTTCCATCCAGAAAGATTAAGACTAAGCAGATATGACATAAAAAATCCAGGCGTATCAGGATGCTTGAGAATCCCTCCCAATTGGTCAAAATATGCAAAATTATTTTTACAGCGGGAGAGACATCTAAACATATAATATACCCATCTCCCATTTCTACTCGAATTGGGGCATCATGATTACTTAAAATTATAAATCCAGCAAAATGATTACAATCTTGGGATTCAAGGCCTTTGCACTCAATTGAGACATAGTTTTCTGTAATAAGGGCTTTTAAATGATTATTTGCCTTATGCCATTCACCACTAGCTATTCCTGTTTCGTTCATAATAATAAGTTTTCGTGCTTGGATAGGGCTATTAAACCGTCCAAGAATCTTCCCTAGATCAGAAGTTGAGAATACAAGGTCTGGCCCAAATAAACTTTTTCGAATAAAATTGGTGATAATATTCTTCCCACATCGTGGTGGGGAGCATAAAACAAGAATCGTTTTAGGAATTATACTTGGATACTGAACTAGAAATGCAAGCCATTTTAAAACATATTCGGAAAGATTTTTATCTCCATTACACCAGATATTTTCTATATGCCAGACGATGGGTTTTACGAGATCATAATTAATTTGAGATGCCGGTTTGGCCTTAAATCCTAAGAAAAGATTAAAGAATTCAGTTTTTGGTGAATTAATGTTTGGAGAGTATGGAAGAAAATTGACATCATCATAATATATTACGCCACTTATAAGGGCATGATTGATCAAAGATGTTAATTTTACCGCCTCATCCCCTAGTTCTATTATATTAATTGTAAAATTTGCAATATCTAGTTTAGGCCTCATGTCAAACATAAGTCCACCATTCGGATTCCTATGTTTAAGAATCCATGTTTTCGTTTTCTTCTGAACACAGACGATCGTTGCTTGAATTGCCTTATAGACAACCATACGAGAGAATTTTTTACCTGAGATACACATACACAGTAAGTCACCCCATACAAAGTGATCACTAGAATCTAAAATTCTGGATCAGCTTAGTTTTGCAGAACTTGGAAGCTTTTTTTCTCTATCTAAAGCTGTTTCGCTAATGGTAAGCTTTAACAAAGAGTTTTTCGTGCTAGGCTGTTTTTCTTGGTTTGCACGATAACAGAAAAAGCTATAAGATTTTTTATTTCGTATAATATATGCATTATCACTTGTGTGTTCCCAATCACATAATGGGCAATATGATGGAGAAATGCGTGATAATGGAAATTTATCAGGGAAATTTTCTGACAGAAATAAGAGATTATAGCCTTCAATATTGGCCTCTTTAAGCAATGTCTCTGCCAACTCGAATTCAGCTTCAGTAGTAATATTACTCGTGGTAGAGCATTTTCTTCTGCTTATATTTTCTGAAACATCTAAGAGAGAGCTTTCTATGACTTCTGATTCATCATTTGGCGGGCGAATCATGAAGTCAAAGATTGTTCTATCTTTTGGATGAATAGCTTTTTTTACACGAACATGTTCTTTCATTTCTTCCTTATACTTGGGTGATCCAAGCATCCGCAAGGAGAAAGACCTTTTATTTGCAATGTTATCAATAATACTTTTCTTCTGTAATCCTACCTGGAGTTTTTTGCAAACAAGTTCAGTGAATACTGCGATCTGAGCAATGTTCTTAAGCCTCATACCAGTAGTAGAGATGTGAAGAGATTTTTTTTTGCATTACTACTAGTAGCGACAGTTATACTTTTTTTATCTCACTCCAGATGTATTTCCAGACAAACATCTCTAAAGGCTATTTGAATAGCTTTACAGGCTTCTTTACACGAAACTTTAGAAGTGATAGCATTTAGTGTTTCTATTGGCAAATCAAAATTTATGATAGGACGAAGTAGCTCATCGCCACCAATAAATTTGTGCAATGAATGGCCTTCACGGTCTGAGAGTATGGCTTCGATACCATACTCACTGTCTGTGCCTAGAAAATTCCTTGGTCTAAACTATCATCATGAATTTTATATAAGCATGCACCTATATCAGAAGCTCTTAACCTACAATAGTATGGGGTGGGGCCGTCCAAATTCTCTGAAAGCTCGGATTGGGTCATGGTAGTATTGGATATTTTTTTGAAGAAATACTAAATCTGTATAGAAAAAGTTTAAAATAAAAATTAATTCCCGACTAAAAAGTAACTGACATCAATTTATAGCAAAAAAAAAACTATCTTAAAAGATGGCATTTTATCATTGTGAATACATTCTTAGAAGCGGAGAAGTCTGTGGATGGGGTAGTTATAGGCCTGAAGGATGCAGTTATCACTGAAAATCTCCCAACGTGTACCATGTAAGGAGTGCGGTAAAATTACATCCTCCCATATAGTATATACAAAAAATATGCAAAGAAGTACCAAAATATGGAATACTATTATCGGCAAAAGTTTGCAAAAATCCAGAATAAATTCCACCAGCAAACTATCCCAGAAAACCCGTTCTAGTTTGCTGGGACGAAAACCTGGACGGAAAAATATAGCTAAATGGTGATATTAAGCTGAATTAAAGGGAATTTGAATAGCCGTCCTAGTTGTCCCAATTGTCCAAGTAAAATGCGAGATTTTTTATTATTTTTTTTTTTTTTTTACTTTTTTTCCTATAAGTATACTAACATATATCATACACGTAGTAGTATATATACCATAAACATATAGCATAGGATGAATTACAAATTTTTTTCTAGAATTCTTATTTTTACTAGAACAACTAGGACAACTAGGACATAGTGTAAAAGAACAAGTTAAATCAAAGAAAGAAGCTTTTCTTCTATATCAAATTCTGTCCCAATTCTGTCCCAGTTGTCCTAACAACTGGGACGGAATTTACTACTATACATCGATCATATCCAACATGCATATCCTTGGATCAAAAATGCCCAATCCAGCCCTAGAAACCGGAGGGTTCATACTTTAGCTAGAGTAAGCACACCAACTCATTAAAAAAATTTGTCTCTATAAAAACTATCTCTGTACCCCATGAAAAATTTATAAAGACAGCAAAAAAACTTAACAAGAAAGCTTCAAGATAGCAAACTGGTATTTTTAAAACTCTGGAAAGCTATCTTTATTACTGTCCCTATAACCCTATAAGTTCCTATAAAAATTCGAACTTCTTTACTTTTTTTTTATTTTTTTTATAGTATACATCAACTATATATCAAACATATCTATAAGCATATACAGTTATCAAAGATAACATACTATAAAAATCAAATTTTTTTTTCTAGAACTTTTACATTTCATAGGGACTCATAGGGACATAGAGACAAGTAATAAAGAATAGATTAAATCAAACTAGGAATCCCAAAATCGATATCGAGGTTGTTTCTAAGGACGTCCTTATGAATTTTTTCTTATAGGAACACATAGGGACAGCTAGTATTGTCGCATTATACCTCTAATTGACTAACCAAAGAAAGGTGCCAGGAACTGAAGGTGCAGTAAATTAACAATAATATCGGCCTATAATTTCAGCCTAATCTTTGGGCACAATAACTTGGCAACCAAGAAGTGATCTAAAACTGGCGAACTAATAGAGCCTTTCTGGTTCTCTACTAGTCTGCTGCCAGTATCACGATAGTTCTAGACACTATCGGGTCACTACTATGGTGCCGAGTTGGATTCTCAAAATACGTGTTCTAAAGATTAGCCAGAATTATGGTATAGTGCCGGGCAAATTTAAACACAGATTTACTGCGCTACCCAACACAATATTTTTTTTACCACATTTTGATATTTTGACAAGCAACCAAATAGGCGCAAAAAGGTAAGCACCTCAATATAGAATCTGGCCAAGACGGCATCTAAAATGGTCTCCAAACAAGCCAAGAAAGATAGAATCAAATATCTTCTCACCTAATTAGTTAGGCAACCTGGAAAAGAGAAACTATGTAACTGGCCACATACCTGAGGACAGTATTACGGATAATAATCTACTTGGGACAGACATAATCTATTATAAAATTCTAAACTATATCGTTCTAACTAGATAATATTATAAAATTCTAGACTATATCGTCCTAACTAGATAATATTATAATGCAACTGGATAACAGTCTTATAAGACTGTTATCTAGTATATTCCAAGTATTAGAAAAAATTTGTAGACAAGAAGTCAATAATCAAGATGCTGTGAAATTGGATTCAAAAAAAGTTGCTTATAGTTATAGTCTTGAACTTTGTAAGAAAGCTTTAGATATAGCAATTAAAATGGTTTAAATGAAACTTTAGAAGGTCTTTTGTAATGATTTATTAATAAGCAAGTTTCAAATCAAAAAAATATACAAGAACTATTTGAACAAGAATTTATGATTTCAAATTCTCTTCAATATAAAGGTAGAAGCCATCCTTTAAACAAGAGATGTTTGTTAGCTATTGAAAATCATAGCATCAAGAATGTTTGTTCAAATAATCAAGATGAAACATTAGCATCAGGATCAATGAAAAAAACAAGCAGCAATGTGCTATATATAGATCATAGTACCATGATTCTCAAAATTGTTCATTAAAAAAATAATTTTACTGGATTAGATACAAAAATAAAGTAGTAGTAAAATGTTTATATTAAAATTTTATAAAGCTATACATGTTGTTTTCAAAATCATTTGTATTTTTTGTATCTAGAGCTGTACAATTCTTTTATATTGTATCAACTTCATTGCTTTTGCATATAAATTTATATTGTATCTAGAAATTGAAATTGAATCAAATTTTATATTTGGCCTAAAGTATAGATAAAAAATTTAATTTAAATCGCAATTCAATACTAAAGTTGTATAAAATTTTTGTATTTAATACTTTTAAATTTTTTTTAGAGTTAGGTGAGTGCTAGTTTAGATTAGTTAAAGCTTTTATATATACTATTTGAACTGCATACATATATGCATATATACATTTATCTATATATATATATATATATGTATGTTTATACATACATGCAGTGTTGTATATAGGACGTGTTCACACTATGTAAAATGTCCAATTTCCAAGATTGTCCAAAATCGTCCAAGCCTATGTTCTATGTTTAACTAATCAATAAAGTAATTTAAAAAAATATATAA